TGTCGGGCATAAACCGGTCCGTGGCGCAAAAAAGGTTGGAGACCGCTGCTTTAAAGTATAAAGATTTAAAATATCATGTCAGACTTTTAAGGTCAGTCGATTGATCTGAGGGTGGCATAAAGCCACTTAAACTATGTTTCTTACTGCCATTGTTTGTATTGACAACATAGCGGGAATGATGTCTGAGGAGCTGAAATATCACGTTACTTTTGGACCTCTGACCTCATCTACAAGGTCAAATAAAGTCAAACTTTCATATAATACTTTTTAAAATGGTTTTCAAAACATGTTTTTAATTTCTTTGTTTGTTGCTGCAACATTTAGGAAATGATGCTGGCATAAGGAGGTTCTAAACATCACATAGTTTGCATCCAAATATCACGTCACATTTTTATAGACAAAAGAATCAGCTGCCTAATTAGTTCTTACATATGAAAGAAAACAAAAACAAACAAACTTCCCTTAAAAACTTCCCTTAAAAACACAGAGAGAGTGAGCTGGTCCTTGTTTGTTTATGATGCATCGAAGAGCGCTCCACATGATTTCCAAAGCTGTGGTTGGTTCATTTTTCAGATTTTGTCTGTATTCACTAATTAACTGTTTTGCACTATGTTATCCTAGCGTTGGTCTCGGTATTAAAGCAGGTGCTGCGTTGTGTTACCTCCCAATCCTTACCTTTAATATTCATCTATATAGCAGCAGTCCTCAACAATCCCCTGACGCTGTTTGAATATTTCAGTCTTTTGTTGACATGACCTGACTGTTGCTGTATTTTACCTTATAAGTGCTTTTTCTCCAAAGTAGTCTCCCTTCTGCAGCGTGTTGATGATCTGTGGCAGCTTGTGGGCCTCGGTGGTCTGGGTCACTTTCACCTGCACGAGACAGTTTGCTGGATGTTCATCTCTTCACCTCCTACAGACGCTTTTAATTTATTTTAAAGCACTATAAAAACATAAAATGCTAAAGAACTGAAACAACAGACATAACCTACCTTCCAAATATTTGAGGTTAGTTTAAAGTCTTCTCTAATAGTACGTAATCCAAAATGTCGTAGATAACATTTACTGATTAACATTTTGTATAATCAGGCATGATTTTTAAAGCGACGTCTACGTGGACCCGTTTTTAAAATCCTCTCTCCTCTCCTCTAGGTTTGTTAAACGGGCAGAGACTTTTAACAAACTTGTTTTGTTCAAAAAAATAGTCTGAAACTCAACATTTTTCCGGTAGAAGACACAGTCTGCAGTGCTCTCTTCATAAATCCACACAGTCAGGCCTCCATGGCCTTTAATGAAGCTTCCAGATGAGAACCTGATGATGTATCGCTGCTCTTTTTCTCACTGTTCACTGTGGTTCTCCTGCTACTTCGGTTCAATCTAGTTTGTCCAGTTTGCAGGACAGATTAGACCTCTTTGCTAGCTCGAGAAGGCCTTGGTGTCCCTCCACTTCTGGCAGAGCTGGATGAGGTGGCCGGGGAGGAAGCTGGTAGCTACGTAGCTTTCTTCGAAATTGTTTTGGATTTCCCCTCATCTTACCTAGACGACTGTGTGACCCATCGCCTGCTTTTTCTTCTATTTATTTTTACACAGAAGTGATGTTTGGTGAAAGCAGGCCCTCAAACTGAAAGAATTATAATGACGATTACATTAACTATTAATTTAATGTTACAGTGCGTACACAAATGTGCTTTTAAGGAGTAGTGTACTTAATTATACCAAATGGAACATGATGGGCCCAGTGTGATGTGGTGGCGTTGAAGTACTTGTTGTTTGAATAGAAGCATTATTTGCATATCAGACGTCTCTGATTCTCCTCTTCAAACTGTTGTCTGCTCGAGCTGCAGCCTGACAGTTGTCAAACCTTTCAGTAATTAGCGAAGCACTGAAAACCAGCGGCCCACCCTGGCCGAGGTCAAGCGTCCCACTGGTGGCATCGTGGTGCCGACAAAATGCCACAATTACATCACAGCCATTATGGTCAAAGTGTGCTTTAGCTAAGTGTCCCATTTGACCCCACTGACCTTTACTTCCCTGTTTTTCCTGATGGCAGGCACTCTCAGATGTTATTTCTACTCTCGTTTGGGGGGGTTACAAAGAGGAGGGGTGGGGGGGCATTTCCTGTATTAGCCCCCTTCTTTCCAAACAACATGTGTCTCTCTTTGGTTTGGTTTGGTTAGCTTAGCGCTGCAGAGCTGCAGTCTCGGATCAGCTCATAATGGCATTTTGAGCGTCCCCCGTGGACAGCTCTGGTGTCGGGTTCCCGACTTATCAGACAGACTGGCGGGTGAGTCATAGCCCTACAACTCCCCAGACTCACGTACAGTTTGGTCAACATACTGGTCGACATATTGGACTGTTACTTATTCTGCGTGTGTTTTATCTGTTTTATTTTCTCTGTTAATGATTAAACGTTAAACGCGATATGAGGCAGGTATATTACCAAGATACTCCTCTTTCTTTTGTTGGAGATGTACTTACTATAAAACACTGCTGTATGCAGTGTTGTTTTCATTTGTGGAAACCAGATTGAAGCAACGTCCTGCAAAGCTTTGAGAGTCGAGCGGTGCTCGAGCAGCTGTTTGGCACTCGGGCTGAGTAATAAGAGCTTTCGCTGCAAATACGGGAGCAGCATCAGGATCCGTGCAATGGAGACATCGTGTAGTATTATCTCACCAAAGCACTTGAGGATTTATTCTATTGTTGGAAGACAGGATTATGGCTTGTGTCCCTAATGAGTGCCATTGTTGCAGAAAATGTCTCAGAAATCTCTGCAGTGCAGCTCATGTCTTATATATTTTTATAACTGACAAGAATAATAGCAAAAACTATGAATGACAAGTTAGACTGCCTGGCAACATAGAAAGCATTTTACTATTTTTGATTAATAATTCTTAAAGTAAAAGTAGTAATGCAATGATGCTATTCATAAAAATGATCTAGTTTGGTTTTGGTGATTAGTTTATTGCAAAACTGCGACAACAGCAGCATCCTGCTCAGTTATGAAGCAAATATCCACAGAAACGACTGCTGAGGGCGAGGATGTACGGCTTGTTTGTTTTTGAGAACGACCGGTTATTATTAGCGTCAACATATCCCAGCTTACAGCTTATGAACGACAGGTTAGCCAAGCCCCAACGTCTACATTTGTTTATTGACTCTTTGACTCTATTTGTAATCATAATTTGCAAAAGGAGGATCAGGCTGCAATAAATAAGACTTACAACTAGTAACTGAGACCATGAACTCAACAAGGAAATGTTTACTAAGGTCGTGAATCAAGTGAGAAGTTGGATCGTTTTCTCAAATACTTCTAATAATAATAATAATAATGGATTGCATTATTTCGAGCTTTACAATTCCACTATTCACTCACTCTCA